TACTATCTGGTCCGCACATTAAGTTTTTATTTAAAAACAATGTCGAGATTAAAGTTTTACGCCCACGTCGATTATCGCAATCTGTCTTCTTTTTTTCCACCCCGTTTATCGTTTTCGTCAGCTTGCTATACTCGTCAACGTCCAACTATAAGTTACTACTGCTCGAGGGTCTGGATTAATTCCCAAACACAAACACGCACACGCACACGCGCACACACAGAGCACGTATTTTCGTAATAAAACTGAAGCACATAAAACACAACAGTAATTCGAAGCTTTCGATATCGACACACTCTCTTTTAGATATTTTATGATTTCTTGTTTAAAATTCACCGATTAACGTCGATTTTGAATCCAAAAGCAACTATTCGAATATTTATGAAAATTATCGACGTCAAAATTGATTTTCAAGATTTTCTCAGAAGCTTGACACGCGAGATGTTATTTTAAGAAAAAAATATATATATATCCCGCGTATCAAAGATTCTTGCTTTATATCTACAAAGATCTATCTAGAGATTATATCTATAAGAATCTTCTCATCGACGTTCCGTTCGTAAATGTGTTTTCGTCATTCCACAACGTGGTCTCTCGACTCCGCGTGTCGACAGACCTCCTGGTAGACTTTCTACAAGCCCCGTTCGTTTATACGATACGATTACTTCTTCTTTTTTTTTTATTTATCGTCACTAAACAGAGAACTGTCTTGTAAATTTTGTTACTTTGTTACAACCGCCCCTCGTCGTTGGAAGACTCCATGAAGAAAAAACCCTCCCTGTTTGATCCACGAGTATCTCTCCACCTGTCTTTCTTTTTCATTTTTTTTCTCCGTATTTTTCTTCTTTTTCTCTTTCGTTTGTTTCTCGTCCCTTTCGCTTCTCATATACAGAGACGGACATACAAATCTCTCACCATTGTATACACCTCTATGTAATTTTTGTGCGGAACCTACCGTCTCAGATATAGATATATATATATATATATATACATATATATAGTATGCTAGTAGATCCTCCTCCTTTATTATTTCTACTAGTAGTAATTATTTTTTTTTTGCGTTTCATGTATGTTTATGCTGTAAAATTGTCGACGTATACATGTTACCTATAGCTACAGAGCTCAGTATATGACACGTATAAAAACTTATATATGTATACATACAAGAAAAGTAGTTTACATTCGTATACACCGTCATTATTACTTGCAAACGCGTTGATATTATTATTATTACTACTACTACTACTACTATTATTATTATTATTATTATTATTATTATTATTATTATTATTATTATTATTAATTATTATTAATTATTATTATTATTATTATTATTGTTACTTCTTTAATAACGAGTGCAGTGTTCGCAGAACCGACGGTAAAAATATGCCGCATATATATATATATACATATACATGTATTTACTTTTGATCGTTTCTGCGTCTATTTCCTTTTCGTCTTTTCTTTTTTTTTTTTTTGTTACTTTTGTCGCAACTGCACGTTTTGTGCATTATTGTTAACTAGAAAATATGAAAGCTGTATCAGCTAGATCGTTCGCGTTCATCGATCGATCGATCAGTCGATCAGACGAGGAATCGTTCGTTTGCTTCTGATAGCGCGCCGATCAGCGAGTTCATACGCGTGTCTCTCTTTCTGTATACTTTATACTGAACGGTTCTGCGTGCCGGTGCTTTTTGCCTTTCTTAAGTACATAATTTCGTACTTATTGCTCGGACACACCAACGATTTATCATTTCTTTGTAGAACGTAATTACCCTTGACAGCAATAAATTATTGTCATTTACCTTTTGTGTTATTTGCGTTGTTGTTGTTTCCGCCTCCTTCATATTATATACCCTATATACGCTCTTCGATATTGTAATGCATATTCTTCTTTAATCTTTTTCTCTCTCTCTCTTTTTCTCCAACCTCTTCCACCTGTATCTCTTTTTCTCTTCTTACCAATTTCTTTCAGTTTCGAGAGTTTTAGCCGAGGACATCGCGTTCCTCTTCTCAAAATATACTGTACGTCTCTAGTCGAGTATGTCTGCCATATGCGCATACATGCAGGATAATTGAAAGAGATTCAAGAGTTTCGAGGTTTACAGTACTCATAGTAAAGGATAAAAAATACTTAACCCACAACTATAGTTACCCCGTGACCTACGTTGATTAATCATTTTTTCTTCTCTCGGTGAGAGCTATGAGCCACTAAAGTCTCAGTCTTTTTTATCACCCTGCATACATGTATCGATTAATTTGGCTGACGCACTCCGCTTGTGTCGTCACGGTAAGTGCTATTGTTCGTTTCGCCGTCGTTGCTTTTGCCTTTCGTTCGTTTCGTTTCTCTCTTTCTCGTTTCTTTTTTTTTCTTCTTTTTTTTTCGTCACATAGAGATACGTAGTTTTATTCGCCACAGCTTGTTCTTGCATACGTCGCATCGCTGAGAACGATTCGCGTTCGCGCGCACGTACACACATATACACACACATATATACAGTGTGTACACTCATACGTTCGCGTCGGCCTGATATATTTTCAGCCGGAAATAGAGCGTGTAACAATAAAACCGTTCCGTTGTTGTTCCGGCGGGGAAATAAGAATCGAGGCTCGTGTGTACGTGCACCCGCGCTATCTACATGTAAAATCGTTGAAAACATTCGAAACAGAGAAGAACACCAAACACTTTTCGGCTTCGTTTTTGCCTTCTGCGCTTTTGCGAGGGAAAGTGGTCGCAAACGCAGCAATTAGGCTAGTGTACGAGTATCCGGTAGCTGTGTAGAAGCGTGCAAGTAGAGTACACGTAGAAACGTAGAGAAGTAGATGAGAGGTGAAGAAAAATCGAGGGCGTCCGTTATGTATTTCCCCATTTCCTCTCCTTTCTTTCCTTTTGCTCCTCTTTTTTCTCATTTTCCTCCTCTTTTTTCTGTTAATAATTAACTTCGTTCTGTTCCTCTTCGCACACACCAAAGATGAGACCACGTATATGTATGCACGAGGAAGTTCGGAAGATACTGGCCATCTTCAAGCCGGGTATCCACCAGATGCGTATTTTTAACGAACGCGCAAAATCATCAGCATCATTTAGTAGTAGCATCGATGCTACAAAATCGCTAGCGAATTTATTTCTTTACGTTCGCAATTATTTGCCATTTATACGTGCTTTGCATTCTTCACGAGATAAATCCACATCAGCGTTCGCGAATAGTCATTGGATATCCGGCTTTACAGATCATCCGGGAACGTTGAGAGTTTGAGAGTACGAAAGAACGTCTCATCGAACGATTCGATTCGCAGATTTTCCTATTTTCTTTTGTCTATTTTTACGAGCGACGCGAGCTCGAGTTTAAGATCGAGCCAACGATACCGCTGGAAACTTTCGCTGAGACGAAAGGAAATTCTGGGTGCCCGTTACGAGAGAAACTCCTGAAAGGATGTTCGTAGCAATTGCCGATGTTCTAAAAACACTTGAAACGAGTCTCTCTTTCGCTTGATCGAGGTAAGAACGCTCACGTATACGCGAATGGCGTCGTCGAAATTGACGTAGGTTCGTGCGTGTTTGTTAAGAAACCAACAACGTTGTCGAATTAAACTGTTCGTTCGACTTGACGAACATAATGGACGGCACGTGTAAAATGACAAAGTGAGAATTTGTCGTGGCTCTCAACGTGGTTGTACCATAAGGGAGAAAAAGTGACGCGTGAAAGGAACCTTAACAAACATCCCCAACGAGAAACACGTGACGAGCACCCTAGAATCTTGATGGTCGGTCGAGAGGATCTTCGACCTTTTCGCGTACACGCTTTTGGTAAAGGACGCTTCAAGTGGAGATCGACGATGCTCGTTATAGCGCGATCATAAATTTCGGATAAGAAGTACTCTACGAATCGCGGATATTTGCCCATACTCCTTTGAAAACTTGTATCGTTTATTCTTGCGATGTATCGATACGAAACAGAAATATCTTACTTGAAAAACCAGATTCATTTGTTTAAATTGGGAAGAATTACTTAAATATAATGTAGTATGTGACTATTGTAGAAAGTTTGGAAAAGTTTGTTTCATTTTTAAATAAGATTGAAAGAGTCTAGGTGAGTCTAAAAGGATGAAACAAGAACGTAAGAGGGTGTAGTTTGTGCAACAAAGCCTACAGCTGGTCTACAACTGGTCGCTTGTTAACTTGCCTAATATATCAATTAATAAATTAATGCGCAAGAGATGGTGTCTGTTGCGAATTTCCAACAAGCCACGCGATACGGAATTCCAATTAAACTGCGCTCGATCATATCGTAAGAAGATATTGAAATAGTAGAACTTTAAGTTCAGAAGTTTCCGAACTCCGCCTAGTCGGTTCGAGTACGGTCCGAGGATTTCTCCGACTATATTAATTCCTCCATCATCGATAGCTACTTGAAGGCTCCTTTGTAGCGTTGATTGAACCAAATATACAAAACGAGAAATACGAACTCGATCGTAAGACAGGACCGAGCATAAGATAAGACGACCGAATAATTCGACTAGAGACTGGACTGGTGTTTCCCAACCTCTTCAAAGTCGTGATCCCCTTTTGTAACAATCGAATAACTTGTGGTTACTTTTCGCGTTGTCATCGAGAAGCAAGATGAAGACAACGCGAAATGAAAGCTAGCTATTCGTAATATCGATACAGCTTTAAAAAAGACTACGTTAAAAGAACTCGGCTAAGGTAGAAATTTAAATCAGAAAGTTCAAGGATAAAAAATAAATTATCAACAACAATGATATAAGTAAAAATAGTTTGCAATCTCGTCGGGGATCGCGACTTATACGCCGGGAATTAAACGGACAAACGATTGGACTCGACGAATAAATAATTCAACTGGACGAACGAATAATTCGATCGGACGAACAATAAAAATTTCAACGACGTATACGTATAAGACGGACGGACAAACGTTTCGAGGCCAAAAGGATGACGCGGACGTCTCAGTCTCTTTCTTGACCCCATGCATGAAACCGACTAGGATCGGGCCAGAGCGATACGGACGAGGCGATGGCGACGGCAGCTCTTCTGCGGAACAAACCGAGCCCGGGTTCCACGACCCTGGAGGACGTCCTTGACTCCCTCCTTGGCCTGCCATCCGCGTCGCGTACCCCGAGTCCTGGGCCAGGGCCCGTCGTAACCGGTACATCCGCCACCATGCGCCATCGAACTAACATCGGCCAGGCTAATGCGAAAGCCGGGAAGAGCTGCAGCGACCTACGCCAAGACCTCCAAGGTAGGAGGACTATGTAAGTTTTCGTTCTGAAGCGGTTCCTCTCGAGAGAGAGAGGACTTGAGAGAGGCTCAAAGAAATTTTAATCTACCATTTTCCCTTATGCGAATCTCTCTGTTATATGTATGTATACCTACGTATGCGTATCCGTGTTGTACAGGCACAGCGTGGTTTAAGAACAAAACGTTAACATAGATGTTTGAAATAAATTAACATCTCGATATACTATTCTGCGTACGATAAAAGATTCGGCGGAAAGTTAATTATACGTGAAACATCGTAGAGGAAATCAGTAATTCGTCAAAAGAAGCTAGAATCAATGTTTGCTTAATATTCCTCGCGTGACCTTTTCATAAATATTAAGCTCGTAGGGTAGAGAGCTCACGATATATCCGTTAAAATTTAATATGGGAATTAGTTAAAATTTAGTTTGAAAATATCGCGGAAATGTAACAAGTGATTTTCAAAAACTGGAGAGAAAATTTAAAAGAAACATTTCCTTCGTTACTTTTGTTTTTGCGTTATCGTCTTAATTGAGAACCATGAAATTTATATGTTAACAGTTGAATCGTAAAACTACACTGTGCGTAAATGTCGTCCTCAATTTATGCGCTCGGCTTGCGTTTCTCTTCGCCTCGTCACCATTCACCCCTCACACACACTACCTTTTATCTTGCTCTCTTTTCTGTACATATGATTTTTCATGATCTTTCATTTTTTTCATACAAGAAAAGTAGTACTTCATGCATATTTTTATCAGAACGTGGAAAATTATTATCTTTATTCTACGATTTTGAAAAATCAAATTGCGTCTTTGTCAAATCTTTTGGCTCAAAAGTGAACATGACAATGTTTTACAGTTAGCATAATTCAGCACGAAAGAATTGCGTAGTTTATATTTATATAGGTATAGCTTGTGTTTTGTAGTATATTTTTTATTGTTTCAAATCATTCAGAATTGCGATATCCAAAACGTAGATTTAAGTCATACTTTGCTTAACTTGAATTTCCTTAAATTTCTACCTAATCAACTTTTCAAGCATTTTCGAAACACTCGATGCGAAATTTCTAATTCTTTTATACGAGAGAAACATTTTAACTATCTGGAGCAGAAATGCTCTAAGACGCCGCTACAAGATACGATGCAGCAGCTGAACTTGCTGATCGAGATTGTCTTTGCGTTGCATTATTCTCTCGCTGTGTTTCCTTTGCCTCGAGATCGCTAGTCTCCTTGTCAACCACGATCGATGACGAAGGGAGAAAAACGAAAAATAAAAAAGGGCAGGAAGAGAAGCAAATCGTCGGGCAACGAGGAGAACGCGAAACGGAACATCAATCCCCTGTTTATTTTTTTCTTTTCTGTTATACTTACGTTGATTTTACACCTTTGCAGAGAAAAAACAGCGTCTAAAGTTCAGGGAGGCGGAATCGTAGCATCTCGCCTCCCCTGAATTCAGACGTCTTGATGCGAGGCTTATCGATCAGAGACGAATTTATCGGTGCTGAAACTAACCAATCTGGGACTCGGAGAGCTAATCGCATTTATGACGACAACCATCAAAAACGCAGAAGACGCGAATCTTTAAAATATATATGAAATTAGTAAGGCCTTTTTCAAGATTTTTGTCTTCGTCGACTTTTACTGACTAATTTTCTTTTCTTTTCTTTTTTTCTTTTCTTTTTGGTTACTTTACATTTGATTTCTATTCCTTTTTATCTTCTTTAATCTCGCGTTAACAGTCTTATTTTCGTTATTCGCACTACGGGAGCTTGTTTATTAAAGGCACTCGGGAGGATAAGCTTATTTTTTATAAACGACCACCGTATAATATTAATTATCTTGCGATCATGCGACTGACACAAACGCCTGATCAAGCGGTTGATCTTTGACGTCTGTCAGGGATACAATCGATGCTAACACTCTGCGATCGCAAACATTATGGTAACGATATTCGTTCATTTCATGTATACGTAACATGGCTTTACATTATCACGTTCCATTCTGCTTCGAATACGTTCGATCATGCCGTTATCGTTTGTGGTTGAGAGCATAAGGGGAACGATTGTGGGTAATTTATAGTTACAGAAAAGATTTTGGATGAAATATCGATTAAACGTGCAAGGTATTCGTTGCAACGATATCCAAAACTTAGTAATCATTTGTAATCTCAGAGGGAAAATGCTGACCTTGTGGACCGGGTGTGGGTAAGATTAAATTTGAATAGAAAAATTCGTACGTGTAATTTAAAAGGGATTGGAATTCGTAACAAAATTGTATGTTTCAACGAAAGAAAGAGGAATGCCCAAACGATAAACCTAGCACGATTGTCGTAGATACAAGTTCGAACGCTAGAATTTAGTCAAAGTTTTTGACGATCGAAACGATTGGCGAATGTCACAGAGTCCGCTAAGAGCGTGATGGACGTGCAGCTGCAAGGAGCCTCCGAGGAGCGTGCCTCGTATTACGTGGGTGAGCTCGTGCGACGAAAGAGCGAGGGTAGCGACACGATGCCCTCGAAAACGGCTGCGGCACAGTCGAGAGGCGTACCCTTGAGTCACCGAAGAGTTTCCTTTGACAACAATCAGGAGGCGAATGGCCTGGTGGCTGGCAACGCTGCGGAGAAAATCATTCGTTGCCGAAATAACAAGTGCAGTAACTCGGCCACCTTGGCCGAGGCGAGGAAGACCTACAAAAGCTGTCACAATTGTACCTGCCTGTATTGCTCGAGGGAGTGTAGAAGAGCGCACTGGCAGCGTCATCGGAGAACCTGCTTGCACTCCCGAGCCGGAAGCCTCTGCAAACAGGTGTTATCCTCCGCCAAGGAGGATCCCATCACGCTGAAACACATCTCGGCGTTGGCCAAGCGTGGCTACGCGTTCCACGGCCGTGGAGCCGTCAAGTGTTTCTTCTCGAGTCCGGAAGCGGCGGAGAAATTCATCGCAAACGGTTTCGTCGACTTAGGTGAACCCACGTACGTGCGATGGTCGGATTTGCTGGCCAGAGAGATGGGAGCGGAACTGTACGCCGAGGTGATCAGACTCTGCAAGTCGTACAATCCGGATACGAGGCTGGTGTTGTATGTGGCCGTTTGCGTGGTCAGCGAGGTGCCAACCAGTGGAGCGGTAAAATGGGAACGACAGTTGGTATCCAGATGCGCGAAAATCCACTTAGACTCTGCAAACAGGCATCACACGTCTTCGTCATCCGCCTCGCCGCAGGGTAGGCAACAGTCCACGTCTCCCTGCAACATCACCCGAGAGATGGAGTCCCCGGAGATGCTGGTGCTTACCTCGCTGCCAGGCAATAACGGCCAGAACACACCTAGGAAAATCCGAGAAATCAGTTTCACCAACATCCAGAGACAACTGAAACTAAGGGGCGTGTCACTCCGGAGGCACTTTCCGCAGGTTTACAGGAAGCTCCGTGCCTACGTGGATGGTACCGTGGATAAGTTCGCTCCGGTTACCATCTATCCGAGAGACCAGGCATCTGGTAAAAGTTTCATGTGCATCATCATGCTCGGTGTAGAACCTGAGCGCCTTCAGCTGCTTCCCACAGATTCCTCTAGAGTTAGAACCGTTGACATTAGCGTCGAGGAGGAATGAACGCCGAATAGAAGCTCTTAAGTACTCGCTTGTGCGATTTTTTTTTTTTTTTTTTTACTAAATTAGTAGGAATGATCTTTTGCAGGCTACGATAGACGTGCGTGCAAGACGCGAGGAATATTTCGAGCTTCGTCTTCGAGTTTATACCCTTCGATGAAAGGAAAATACACGTAGCAGTCGCGAAACTGTGAGAGAAATAGCTGAAGGAAGCTCGTGGAATTCGATAGGAAATTGAATGAAAGTAAATCGTCTTTCGTGAAAAGATGCCGATTAGGATGGTCTTTCGGGAGAAGATGATTTACCAAATCGAGGACACGTCGAGGTGCTTGATATTCCACGACATTTCGTGTGAAGCAACGAACAAAATAACGTAGAAAAAATTAGACTATACGTTGCCAAACACTCTCGCCTTGATTCAGTTTTTCAGATAGATCTAATTGTGTATTTATAGTTTCTGATTAAAGCTCGTCGGGTACGCGTTACAATCGTTGGAGATGTTAGTTTACGCGTCATTTCGAAGATCAGGGACTATATATCGTAATTTCCATACGATGTCTGCTCGATTACTTATCGTAGATCGACGAACATTCATTTCCGTGGACACTTAACGAGCGTGTTGTAATCAACATGTATCAGTTTCATTCGCGAATCTTATTCGTGGATCTTAGAGTACCTATCTCTGATTGCTTCGATATATCAAAAAATAAAAATCTCCTCGATTTGGTTGTTATTCTGTCAGATGTTTATTAGCAACTATATCGATTGTCGAACGAATCAACGAGCGATCTTGATAGAACAACGGTTCCTATCGATATTTCGATATCAAACTACAGTGGGATATACTGGAACGAACGTTATTGATTCCGAAATTGGTTTCTCATAGCTTTTATTCGTTCTAGCATCCATGCATAATACATCGTTGAAATATGTATGTACACGTATCTAGGAACGGTCCATTCCAAACTCACAGTCTCAAGCATAATTACCATTTAATACAACGATATAAACAGGAGAAATCTAATACAAAAGCATTAAAGCGTAAAAATAGCATAAAATTAATTTATTCAACTTTTATGTACATATGTGCATTTGAATTTGAAAGGGATTAACAGCAATATCTCCTTAGCTTAAGTTTAAGGTATGAAAATTCCTTGATAAAAGCACGCATTTCGTTGTGATATCGACGATTTTTAGCGATAAAAGCGATTTTAGCTTCGTTGTAGCATAACCCACTGTATTCTTCGGAAAACTTTAAATTTGTTTCTTTTTCCATCCAGGTTTCACGAAAAAATGTAAAATTAACGTAAAATTAACGTAAAATCTTGCTGCATTATAATTAGAGAATTCTAATTATTCGTCTAATCTGTAAAAAGGATGCTATTCAAACGCTCTACGTTCGACACGTCGTTTTCGAAAGTAATGACGAGAAGTATCTTGTTGTCCTTTCGTTCGATTTAATGTAGTTACAGTTGTATTTTTTGAATTTTATCATATATATTATATATAAAGATTAAATCTCTCTCCGCGGTGCAGTCAGACTGTCTCGATTGTGATTCAAGAAGATGCTCTTCGAATTGATGGATCTCGAGTCAAGCTGAACGCATCGACGATATAAAAAAGGCAAATGTAGATTGTGGAAGAGATTTTCGCAGTTTAATAGCTCCTTGTGGAAGATCCTCTAAAAATCCCAAGTTTCAAAAGTCTGTAAAACCTAACTAGCGACCGATGTCCCTGAAAATAGAGAATTTCTACCGAGTAATCGTCTCGAGCTCAAATCCAATTACTGTACCGTTTCCACAGACGCGATCTTTGTGCCAAAGCGTAGACCGTAATAAATTAATAATCTTTCGAATTAAGAAAGTAACCTGCGCGGATCACGATGGCAACAGGAATGAACGTCTGCAGGAAAGAAACATTCTAAGAATCTTGATCTCATGGACTAACTTCGTGGCATCGACGAACTCTCCGTTTAATACTAAACTCGCGTTTTTATCTTTTCGACGAGATAAGATCGGGATACCAATTTTACTTTTACGAAATTTCCTACATATTTTCTACATTTTCACGTAACGTCGGTGAAATTCTTTTTGCGACAAATAAACTTAACAGAGTAACAAAATCGGACTGTCAAGGGAAACGATAATAGTGCCAACGTTAAAGTCACGAATACACGATGGTCGAATGTATCTTGATTAGAGATGAAATTTTAATTTCATCGGTGAAACTATTAATTTACACGAAACCCTTGTAAATTACTCTGGTGATTAATTCCAACAGATATGCCAACGATAATAATTAGAGATGGCTGGATCAATGTTTGTTCTGCTGGCCATAATCTCAAATTAAAAGGATCCTAAACGTAATTTGTAGTGCCAATGATAGAATCTCTTGCAATATCATCGTGAGAGGAATTTCCAAATGCGCGTAATAAAATCTCAGAGATATTACACGTCTAGCTAAACCGCATTTTAACAAAGATAAATTGTAAAAATCATTTTTACAATTTGATGTAGTATCTATTACATTCGAAGAATATCATCATGAAATATCACATATTTTGCTTTGTTTTGGATTATGATTACCTGTGTTAAGGACATCGCTTTATTTTACTTTTCAGATATGCGTAATTAACAACCAGAGTATGTTTTAAGAAACGTATTTCATTCAAGTTGCCAGAAAATGATCAAACGAATATTTAAGTACATGATATTTGATTAGAAGTGAAACGTCTAATTATCTCTTTAATGAAATGATACTATTCTTGTAAGAAACTAAAGTTGAACTGTTTCGTATAACAATGTAAGTTTTTTCAAAACTACTTTTCTCTTGAAACAATCGGTGAAATTAATATCTTTTCAAATTATATCCATCGATAACGTCATAGATACGTATACGTATAAATATGTATATCCAGTTGTTTATCTAGTTAGAATTTCTTACTTGCAAAATTTATTTATTATGTCTTTTAATAAGCAGTTATCATTTAAATTGTATTGTTAGTGCTGCAAAATATAGTAGCTATATAATTTAACAATCAAATATATGTGTAATGTACAATAATTGCAAATTCTATTTTATAACGTTTGAACCTTATTGCTTAAAAAATTTCCTATTTCGTGATTTCACTTAAGTAGATATTAGTAATTCCGATTGTATTGAAAATAAATAGTATTTGGAAAAAGTTATATTTGATATATGTATACTGTAAAATTATTGAACTCTTGCCTTATATATTTTCACGTATCCCTTATGGCAAAAGAGACAACTAGGTACTCTACTTTTGATAAATCGCTGCTAATATTTAGCACACGAGATATCTATCTCAAACTTACATTACTCTCGTCGAAATAATGTAGATGCTACGTATTTATAATATAATATATCAGTTTATATATATATATATATATACATTCATTTTAACATTAATATAAATCATTAATCACATGACACGTTAATTAAATCAAAAGACACACCTCAATAGTAATAATAATAATTGCAAATAAAAATCTTCTTTAACAAAGATATAAAGAGTCAACTATTCACATTTTTATAAGATATAATTCTTTCTCGAGTACTTGTATAAAGTATAATATAGTAACTACATATTATGCAATAACAGCTACTCATAGAAATATATGCTCACCGTGTACATGTAACAAATTCAATATATATTTATGAAACTACTAAATATACATACATATATATTTATATATATAACTAACAGCAACATTTGAAAAATAGCAATAAAAGGAACGAGTAATGTTTTTTAAGAATCAGGTTTAGAAGAAAGATATTGATAGGTAAAGAAAGATTTATTCACATATTGTACGCTGTATAAAATGTTTTTTTATGAGATAAATAGGAACTAGAATTAGTAACTTCCCTCGAAGAGTGACTGAAAGTATTGTACTTTCTAATTTATTGTTTATAGTATAACATTATGACTTTGATGTTGACTGATGAGTGTCAATTTTTACTCTATATTTCAATACAAAAACAAGTTCAATTTGAATAATTTTCACAGACCAATATTTCGTTTAAATAGCAGCAACTTGTATGACGTAAATTTCTTAAAGTGATATTTCATAATAACAGATGCGGAGAATTGTTAAAGTGCTTAGATCGAAGAAGGGTATAAACAGAGAGGAATGCTGCCCTGAATACCTAAGTATCTATGTACTTGGTATTCCCTTAATTGTGCTAAATTGTTCGAAAATAAAAGTTCACCGATAGTAACTAAATGAAACTGTGACAGTGAGCAATCTCCTATCTGAGAACTGCCTCGGCGAACAACAAATCTAGCCATTTCGATTCGAATTAAAATGCCTAAAAATTTCATCTTAACTAATAAGTCGACTAAATTATTCATATAGAATAGATTATTTAAAACAGATCGCTCTAATTATCGTTTATAGCTTAATTTGTTTAAACTCTATAAGTTTCACAATGTAAATAGATATTTTTGCAATAATTAATGAACTCTTAACTTAGTCCTAATTTTAGTTATAAAAGAAATTGGATGTAATTATTATTTTATCCTATTAGACAAGTCGTATTTATCATACATGTTTTTAACACACACGGTGGCGCTTTGTACGTACAATAAAACATTTAAATTATGAAAAGAAAATTGATGATGAAAGTTGATATAATCTCTGAACAGACTGAATACTGTTAGCATAGATGACAGAAATAAAGTAGTACAAAATTAATCGTTATGATTAAAATGTAATCAAACATAAAATAATAATTTGATAATCGATAGTTTGTACTTTGTTCTCTTATTGTCATAAACAACTATACGAATTATGACACTTATATGTTATTTTACGATACTTCGAACAATTCGGTGAAACTATTTTAGCTAGCACCGAGAGAGGAGAAAAAAGTTTCAAATAATCGATGAATCGATCGATTTGTAGTATAATTAATAAAAAATGAAGATAATGTATTAATGCCACGAAAGTTAGTCCGCTGAGTTTTCGATAGTTCCTTTTACCTGTCTGTATTACGACATGCCACGAATGCGATTATTTCGATCGTACATTTAGTATATTTCTAAACTTATTGTTTATCACTTATCGTAGAAGACGCACATTTGTCTTATTCATCGCGTTCTGTGCGCAACGATCTTCTGATATTATGTAACAAAGGGATGATCTAATTTATACGACAAGAGAGAAGGAAGAGAGAGACGGTGATCGCATCTGTACGATCGATAATTTTATGAAAAATCTTTAGAAGTTTTGACTCGCTGATCGATATCCATATTTATATGTAACCTTACCGATTTATATATATTGTCGTAATGATTGACAGGGGCAAGGAAGCGCTCTTGTTCATTCAATTCCTTGCCTTTTATAACAAAAGAAAGAAAAGAAAAAAAAAAAAAGAAAATGTAACGAGTGTGACAAAAAGTGCTTCAAACTATATTTATCGAAAAGCTGGTGCGGTCAAGTATGTAATAACGTGGGAGAAATTGGAGAAATTTCTTTTTATCCGAATCGATGATACGTTTTTCTTGTCGTTGGCAACTGACTGCTCAATGATTGAACGAGCAATTACGTATGTAGCTCGGGTGTAGTCACTCTAAACGTAACGTTATCGTTTCAACATCTATTTATCGGTGCTACTAATGCCTACCACTGTTTTCGCATCTGCGTATGTCTCAATTTTCCAAATAAAATGTTAATTTTATTATACCTGCCCGTCACTTCATATTTTACGAGATTTTGTGATAATGACTGTTACATTTATATAATTGATAAAAGCAAATACTTTAAAACATAGAGGATCAATAAAATTACATATTCTTACGGTGGTAACTTTTGAATATACCCAAATAGCAATTCAAGTTTTTTTAATAATTCTTTATAGATACGAGATTTTTATTATATTTGACTATTCGTATGATTTCACTTATCGATAAAGTATCGTAAGGTCTAATTGATTGCAAATATGTACATGTTTTCAGGTGTATCTTTTATGTCATAATTTTAAGCAATAAGTTCGTCTTTTAACAATTGTTGTTTTTGGTGTTGTAAAAATAAAGATTTAATTTATAAATAAAACCATGTTTCTCCCTCTCTTTCTCTTTCCCCCTCTCTTATTATTAGTTGAGAAAAATAAATTTTCATTTTTTAACAAACAATAAAATCGACGTGAAATGCAGTTCTTCGAATCCAGCGACAAGCAGGGAACAAAAGTAACAGTTATTTCTAAAGTTTGTATGAGAGATCATTGTTAAAAAGCTAACTACTGTTTAATTGTGGATAACGAGCAACAGAATAAACGATTCTCCGATGATTTATCAAAGTTTTTGATTTATTTGGCTCTGTACAGATTTGCTACAAATTTATTATTATTAATAATACCATCGTACAATTTTAATCGTCATAAAGTTATTGTGGTTGAATTTCTGTTTCACATACTGTTTATCATACATGATGAATGAAATCACTCTTATTGCAATGGGTCTGGAATACGCAAAACTAACGTTTCTATTTATCGTTACTGGAAATTTGTTATTTATTATTTCATCGATAACCAAGAAGGGGAGATAAAGAGCTTAACATTTTACTTTGCACCTTTAAACAAATTTCAAAGAGTGATGAGCGATTACGAGATTTGTAAGTAGAAACAACAGAAAAGAGGTACACAGAGTACGATTTCAATGTCTCCTTTCAGACAAAGACAAAGATAATTCTCTTATTTAAGCTTTGGAATAACCATCTTATTTAGGTACAACAGCTTCGCAATAGTGTAGTACGCGACATCATCGCGGAAAGCACGATCGACGACATAATAATATACATTCATACAAAGTTGCACGATATTTAAGCTTACAACTGAAACGCTTTCTCATCGTTTCGTCGTGTTACAAAACAATTCTCCATAAATACTGTGTCGTAGTTGGCGAAGTAGTTAAAAGTATATACCTACGGCTAATAGTCTTACGCTTAATAAATTTATATTGCGAATTATATTATCTTTGTGTGTGTGTGTGTGTGTGTGTGTGTGTGCGCGCGCGCGCGCGCGCGTGCGTGCGTGTGTGTGAGTGTGAGAGGTGTATAAACATAGCACAGACTGATCGACTGTTCATTACATTATTAATACTATTATTATTATTATTATCATTTTTGTTATTATTATTTCTATTATATAATGGCGTTTTGACTATATTTTAAAATCATTTGAATGTACACGTATCGTTGCCGGTGAATTGTATGCTACATTATTGTGGAGCCATCCAACTTTAGCTCCTAAACCTCGCACACTTTATACAAGATAAAACGCTGCTTCTTTCAAAGCTAGCGAAAATTATTGGTAAATATAAATTACTTTTCGCGCGGTTCGAGTCAATCGAACATCTTTCGTACATAATAAAAGAAAAAGTGCTAATTCAACCAACTAACCAACTAACAAGAGGCGTCTCCTGACTTCAGTCTTTCTTAGACAACGAAGACTTCCTCTTATCTCTTTAAACATTTAGGTAACGTTCGGAAACTAGAAGAATAAAGACAAATTTCCTGAACACTTCTTATCGTTCGAGCGTATAAGATTATACAATAATCTTAACGATCTCTCTATATATATATGTGTGTGTGTGTGTGTGTATGTGTGTGTAATGTTTATGTATACATATATACCATATCTTACCAATAGTCATCATATTTCGCCAACATCGATGCAAAATAAATCACAATAATTTTTTCCCTTTTACGCTTAAAATTGGCAACTGTAATCCTCATTGCAACATTAGTATATTATATTCTTCCGCTAAATGCTAAAAAATATGAATCCTCTCACTCATTCGGTAATTACATTGTCCTTACATATTACAAGTAAATAGAGTATTTTGGTTTCGACCCCTCGCTGATAAAAAGGACATTTCATACCTCGCGATATCGCTTTTATTGTGGGCGCGACATGGAAGATCATTTGAAAACGTAGAAAAAATTGGGAAACTTCTGTTTATTACTCTCGTTGTGATAGAGCGCGCATACATATACCTATCTAGTAGACAAGCATACAAAAACATTTAAAATACAGATATTTTACAGGCTTAAACACGAAAAGGAGAACAAAAGTATTAGCTTTGAATTTGGTTTAGTTTACGTACAATACACATCTTCAGGAGCAATGCATTATAACACATATAGAACAGTTGCTTGTCTTAGGTAAGGACTTACACATATAGTCGTAGCAACATGGACGATCGGGTCTCTGAAATGAAAACTCAAATTTATTCCGTTATATGGTATTGATATTATCATGGAATGTGTCCGAAAGAAATCACTTCCTCTATGATCGACATCGAGCAATGATAGGAAATCGTTTCATGTGCGTATCTTCTTCCTACTCACTGTCCTTTATACTACTCGAGATAATCTGCTGTACGTTCGTTGAATTCTGCTTAAAAATCGGAGAATCGAAAAAAACATGCATTTATATATATTTCGTAAACTTTCATACTTTTATTTGTAACAGTAAAACAAAGTGGAAGCGTCTGTATGTAAAGGAAAAGTGTATTTTATATAGCTCCTCAAAAATAGTCTAAATTTACACGAACTCTTAAACTCTTGTTACATGCACTTTGTAGACTCTCCTTCAATAAATAAAAGATCTCTGGCTGACGATTCCTAGAATCGTCTGAGAAAAGCTAAATGTTTCTTTCTATCATAGTCTTCAGATAGATACATGCTATAAAGTGAGCTTGTAATTAACGTGAAAACAAATTTCTTTTTATTTAATTTATACAAAAAAAAATTATTAAATATTTGTTCGTGACAAAAAAGAAAATATTTTTGTTAAAGGTGCTAAAATGGTGTATAATAAAAATAACCACTGTTATAGTGCTACACAGTTATACTTTTAATGATATTACTTATAATAATTCGCGTTTGTATGCTCTCTTGAGCAACGAAATTCGCTGATTTTGTTTCTACTTTCAAATTCAGTGCCTCTTCGTTATACACCAATTACATCAATCATCGGATCATGTTATTTCTATTCGACATCTATGCGCAAACAAAGCGTGTTGCTTGTGCGACGAGCAACAGAATTGGAACTTTCGTTGAAAATGAACGAAACGAAAGAATCGTCAGCCATTTTTCTAGGAGGCAGTTGCGGTAGATGGAAGTGAGCTGGGTCACGCGAGATTCGTTTCCTGCTCGCCCCATCCCTCGCTATCGCATTCGCTCTCCGATGCTGAGTCACTGTCGCTGAACTCGACAGCAACGCGTCGTGCCAATATGGATGCGACATCGTTCAATGCGTTCACACGTTCCACTTCCTTCTGTTCAATCTTCTCTACTTTACGTAATTTTATTCCTGGAAAAATAAATAGATTTTTAATCGTGGTATGTTCAGAGAAACTGTATCGACTTTAATCCTTTTAAATTCAAAGTGTAACGTTATATCGTAAAAGTTTTACTGAAAGATTGTAAGTAAACTAAAATAAAGTTAAATAAATTTAGCATTTAGAACAAATTATATCTATTACAAATCTATCATATAGAACAAGTAATAATGAGTTAATATTGATTATCCGAATGATAATAAGGTAATTACCATCTCTAATTGCTTTAAGTAGATCATTCCGCGGATCGACAAGGGGGATGTTCGGATTAACAGGCTTCCTCAATTGTCCATCCACGATGTTCTTCAAAGGTTTCAGGGGTTTCAACTTAGGTGGGTTAGTTGCTATCATTTTAGCAATATCGCCATTGGTCAATGGCACAGGGGGCGATGGTCCGTTAACAACAGGCGGTGGCGGAGGTGGTGGAGGTGGAGGTGGAATATTACACGGTGGAGAAATAGGTCTAGGTGGTGTGGGATCAGGAGTCGGAGGTGGAGGTGGCAAGTCTTGCGGAGCAGGGTCGGTCTCATCTGTTCCTATTTGTGTCGAATGATTTGGAGGAGTAGGCGTAGAGTGATGACTGGGTAGCGGACTATTCGAGCGACTTCCGTTCCTATTCAGTAGATGTGACGGTATTGAACCTGAAATAAATAATTAATAAAATAATTAGTTAACAACTTAATGAAAATAAATGTTTGGATCTCGTACTCTCTAATGAAAGTTTAAATGTCTCCAATCTAAAATTTAATTTCAACCTCAAACCCATTAAATGAAACTTGAAGATACTCTTCCAAAATTTTGACTCTTTTTCGAAGTGACGGTATACTCGTTGCATATAAATATTAACGTAATTACCATTCATAGGAGGAGAGGACATGGTTTCACCAGGAGGCGGAGGTGGTGGTGGTAGGGTATCTCTACCAGTACTCATCGATCTTCCTCGTGTTGGAGTATTGTTAGCAGAGGCTACAGTAGGTGTCGAATTGCTAGAAGTATTGCTTGGCGGAGCTGGTGGTGGTTGCGATGGTCGTGATCTACCACTTCTGCTTGGAGTACTTTGACCACCAGGACTCTGGTACGTTTCGCTACCCGCTTGCCCTTGACCTGTGCCATAATGTGAGCCGTACAAGTTGTCTTCATAGCCCTGAGCCACGTAATTTGCCACCCTGTTTTCAAAAAGAGAAGAAAAGATCAATTTTCAGAAATATAGAAATCCCACTTTTCAATAATGCTGTAATATTTCAGTATTGTATGATCTACACAGCAAAATCATAAGTAGCAAGAGAAAGCATTCGATAAAGATTTTCATGTGTGGAGACAAACAAACTGTTGCATCGATCAAACGCTTTTCACGATCATTGTAGAAAATTACGAACCTATAATGATCGGAAGAAGGAGGACTGTACAGATGTTGCTCCTCCGGTGGATAACTTCGTCTAAGTTCAATGCTGTTTGGCCTAGGTGGCCGTGGTTCGGTCATCACCATTCCCAGTAACGATTCATCAGGTATATTGTGAGGTGCTCTGTATTGAACACCTTGCGTTGGCATAATGTACTCGCCATGACCAACGGCTAACTGTCTTTGCCTTTCTCTCGTATTATGCGGTTGCCTTATACGCTTCTTATGCCTGCCACCGCCACCACCACCACCCTCGTTCCGAGGCCTATGAGGCTGTACGGTAAAAATTCTATATTAAATGGCTGCCTTATTGCAGAGTAACAGCAAAAGTGCAAGACAAGCTTAATTTATCAATCAAATATGACTCAATGCTTGATCCAGTATTTGTTTTATTGTACGCTTAAGTTATGGAAGATATTTTATAATCTACTAGCATACTTTCAAGTTTGTTTCGAATTTTTAGAAAAAACAGGATCAACCACTGGACATGAGAAGATTTGTAGGAAATAAAACTAGTGATTTTCTTTACGAAGCTTCGTTGCCTATCCAAGAAAATATGATCGATTAAAGCGAAGGCAGATAAAAGAAAGTTTACTGTATATTGTATTAAACATTTCAGATTGAATGTTTTTATACATTTCGATTGAAGGTTTCAGAAGCTACTTCTAACGTGTCCACGATTTTATTTCCTACAACGTGAAATATGACAAATCAAAAATAAAAATAATCCTGAAATGATCAGAGATCGTGAGACATCGTATCGATATTACAAGATGGCTGGATGAATGATAATGACAGACTTCTATTGAGTACATCCAAAAGTTGCATGACTGGCACAAAATGACATTACAAAGTGATCGACAAAGTGACATGGTTGTGAAACGAACTATTCGACTTTGACAAACAATTTGTCTTACAAAAACAGGGGTGCCAGACAAGGATTCTTCTGCGTAGATTGAACGTCGTTTTTAAACCAATAAACTTGCATGTAAAAGAAAGTTATGGAAATGAAAACTTAGAACGAAAATTCATATTGGAATTTAAAGAAAAGAGAAATAAGAGAGAAAGTCACATAAGAAACAAACGTATCATTCGGTCTACGCAATAAAAAATTCTTTGCCAAGGACGAACATTACAGAACGTGTTTGGTTTAATGTCATTGGCTAATCCTAGCAATGTAAACTACAAACTTTCAAAGCGAGCATCTATCAGCGCAATCTCTATCAGCGCAAAAAGGTCGGTTAATGAAAATCCACAAAGAAGTGAGCTTTATTATGTATGAGTGAGTGGTTGGCGATCGATAATTCATTAGAACTGGATAAGGGTAATAAAAAACTACAAAGATCCAAACCATCGACTTGCCTCTCTGAACGGTTCGGCATATTCAGACTCGGTCTATAACGAAGGGGACATTTTCAATCGTTAGAATCGCATGTATGTTAGCATATAAAAGTAGAAAAATAACTATTGTATCGTGTTACAGCGCACCTCGAAAAGTGTTAGTTAATCACATGTACATAATATATCTTGCTTATATTTTCCATAAGTACTAAAAGAATAACATAATTCAAGAACAATCTCATCTTGTGTCTAAGAACAAAAAAAAAGAAAAATAAAGGAGAAGATCGAGGTGCACGTGTAGATAACAAAGTGGAAAGGAGACAAAAATTTTCTTACCTTTTTCCCTCGATCGTGTAACTTCTTTTCCGTATCCTTCAGCATTTCCTGACTCCAGAGATCGAAGAAATAATTCGGATCTGTGTAAAATTTCAGTCCATCCTTACCGTCCTCCCTAAAATCGACAAAGAATTTTATTCGTTTGTATTTTATCTTTTATCTACTGTACAAATTACTTTTGCGTTATTTGACAAACTAATATTTTACACAAGAATCTGAAGCTGTAATATCGTAAGAGGTAAATTTTTTGCGCACATTTCAAAGTGTTCTGTATTTTTTCTACTTACACGGTACCTGCTAGATAAGATAACCAATTAGTTTTGTTTCCCTAAATAAACAAGATAATCAGATATCTTTCTTAGCAATAACAATACATTTTTCTTCCTATAAGGAGATAATAGGAGTTTTTAATGTTTTTTGGGGAGCTTTTATATTTTAATACTTTCTAATATTTTGAATTAAACTTAATAAACTTCAAATTGGATCTCAAATAATTCTGGAAATTGTGTTTAATAAAAATTACTTCAAATTCTAATTGTATATTAATATAATTAAAAAGACTAAAGTACCTATAAACATTAAGTTTATCAAGAGGTGGTGGTGTGTCACATTGATGATAAGTTTCTAACATCGCCGTTGGCATGGTGTCCCTGGAAACAACTTGTTGGTCGAACACCACTGAACTCTTAAACGCTTTCCTCATGTGTATATCTTGTAACGAGACTGGAACGAAAAAATATAACGATAATGCATTTTGCAAATTTACAACAAATACGCAATAATAAATTTCTTACACTATTTTTTTTTTAACAACATGCCAATACACCGCGTTTTTTAAAGAAAAAAGAGATATATCTATGTAAATGTATCTTAGTCTATGCTTGGATCACGTCGTTCCTAATACGGTGTTAAAGGATTAATCATAGACTGCCTAATTAATTAGATAATTAACGAACCTTCCTCGACGTTACTGTCAAGCTGAGTAACTTTCACAGCTAATCGATCTATCCTGGCTTGCAAGGAGTTGGCCCTATCGCTCAATCCATGAGCTTCCCTCGCGAGCTCACCAAACAGATCCTCGGCGTGCCTGGACAGACTAGACAATTGCCTGATCGTGTTGGCCAGCGTGCCATTCGTTACAGCCTCTAACTCCGAGGGCAGAGGAAAATTCTCGGGAATAGTACCGCGTGCGACGAGCACCGGCTCCACTAGTCGCTTTGGAAGCGGCATTTTCTTTCCACTTGCCTTTTACCTTCCCTTCAAAGATCACTCACCGCTTTCTAGAGACCTGCAACAATCACACATTTCAATAACTATGTATATCTGTTAATTAACTTGAGATTATTTATAGTTGACGCAAACAAAGATATTCCTCCTTTCATGTTTCCTATCCAAAATCGTAGTATTCGATTTAGAACTAGTAAAGATATAACAACGTAGTCGATAGATTCTTTGATTCATTGAAGGAGCACAAATGTTTGTATCGCGTCAGGAAGAAACGCGCGGATGATCGTGGTTTCGATTCGTGGAACAGATGGAACGAGCCGGGAAGTAATTTGCAACGGAGTAGGCTCGAGTGCAAAGACGACACTCGACGCTCTTTGCGCGCGAACACATCCTCTCTACAGGTATCGAAAGTCGTTAGCGGAATGAATATTCGATCTTTCTGGGGTTGCACATTAGTGCAACCCATCTAACGTGCTCGCCCAACTTGGTCTTTTCATTTTGCAAACCCGGACACCGATCGAACGACGCCGATATCGGCCACGGAACGTGCTTCGATTAATTGAAACACGAGTTAATTGAAATGCTAATGATTCTGAAATCTTGTCGGAAAGTTCGTAATTAAGCATACTGTGTGCACCGGTGATATTTTCGTGTAAACGTTACGGTCAAAGTCGTTAATTTCGCGTCAAATTACCCTTGACCGAGACGACGCGGAAATACCGAGTGAACGGTGTACGAAAATTCCGTTTCCTTTTTCCTCCTTTTGCTTTTTCTTCGTTTCTTCTTCTTCTTCTTCTTCTTCTTCTTCTCCTTTTTAGGAGGAAGACGACGTACGAGCAGATCGTTACAAACGATCGAAAGAGACATTTATCATGAGTTGGATGAGTAATGGAATTGTTATTGCAGGAAGTCGTTCCCGTTCCCAGCTGACCACGAGATGTGTTTACTTCGCTATCGTGAACCATGTTTTGTTTGTTGTGTATACAATTACTAAACTGTGGGTACAAAAATTATAGTTGTACACGTGGATTTTTGCCGAATATGTGGCAGACATTCTTTTAAGAAATTTGTAAACATTTTATACGTCAATCTTGCGAATCAACGTATCGTCGCATTTTTCGAATCATGTCCAAATCATCCAATTGAAGTGTACCAATCTCTCGACGTAGTAGTCTCGTGACCGGTATATGTACCTTCCAATCGACTGAACAAATTCTAACGAGTGCAACGACTGCAGCCTCGCCTTGACTCCTTTCCTTTCCTCGCGTGTTCCCCTCTTCGCTATCCCATTGGCCCCGATTAACTTGCCCCGGTTGTTGCCTCTTATCGTTCGCTGCAACTCTCTCAGGGTCAACACGCGACGATAATTAGCAGCTACGGACTGGTCGTGCGTAAGGGGTATTAGCCCTCCGCGCGAACTGTACCAGAAACGGTGAGAAACTCACTGCGTAAATAACGTATTAGACAACACGTTAGCGTACAACAGACATCTCAGAGATAGAACGCCCGCTTCCTTTTTTCTTTCGCTATAACATGTGATTAAGAGATTAATAGAAAACACGAGGCTGTTATCGAAAGCAAAAATGTTCCATCGTACGCGCTGTTTCCGATATGACGCGGCGGGCAAGAAATTGCTTCGAACAAATGATGTTTTAACACTTTTAGCATTTTGTAGTGTTTGTTCCTCTTATTTCTTAAAATTCAAATTCTGTCTAAATCAGCTTTGAAGTATCTGGCAGGGTCAATGATACGATCATGGCCAAACGAGGACGGCGATGGGTGTACCGCTATTTTTCCATTGATTCCTAATTAGCAATTTAGTAAGCATAAGCCAAACGTTTAACACCTAGATTCGCAGGATGTTGGTTTAGCTGTGGAAAAGATATGACCGTTGTTTCTCAAATCAAACCGACTTCCAACTTTGAAGGATACTTCTGCTTGTGGTACATTCTATATTTCTGACAAGTGAAATCATTAATTTTTGCAATGGTACTTTTACGAAGTACCTACTTCTAATTAAGAGGGACACGGGAAAACTCGGTTTTATTCACCCCTCGTTAAAAGTCCCTGTACTAACTCTTTGTATCACTTATGAATGTGTAACTGAATAAAAGCCTCGGGTGGCGCATGTAGGGTTGGCCAAGCCCTTCTTTTGCTTTCTGATCCCTTTTGTTTTTAGAGATCGTTGCTCGGATACGTTAGACGGAATACCATAACGTCGAGGTTGCTTTAACGATATCCCTTTATCCCTGCGGACTTTCGCTTATCCACGTTCATCTAAGTTTTAATCTAAAGCGGTTAAATACGCGCCTTTTTTTGTAGCTCGTGATAGAGAGAGAAGGTCTAATTATAAAATAAATAAGACACGGTACCTACGTGAGTATTTTGTAAAACATTACATTTTTTTTAACGCACCCTGCATGTAGTATATTATCCTCGTTTCCACTTGACGTGGAAAGTGTAAGCGTTCGTGCGAACGGATCAACCGAAGTATCGTTACTAAGGTTTATGAAACCTTTCGAAAGAAGTCGTGTCGACATGTGGGCCGACATTTACGCCGTACAATTGTATATTATCTCCTGTGAAGAAATAGAAAGTCGCTTGCAATGATTTCTTCTGCTCGAGGTTTCTGTTACGTTCATTTGACTTCATGTGTTGGATAAAGGTTAGTCGCGATACAGGCAGAAATTTCACAGATGACTCCTTTAGCTTTATTACATCCATCGAATTATTTATAAGCTCGTCGTATCGAAAGAGAAAGCTGCTTAAATTTGGGTAAGTTTTAAAAAAATTGATATCTGCAAATTTAAAATAAAAAAGAATTCGTGTACTCTTTGTCTATAGTAAATAGATATCTCGTACAGCTGAGTAAACTTCGTGGTGTGAGGTTTTAAATTAATAGACGTTTAATGAAAAAAACCTTTCCTTTCATCTAGATTATCTAAATCGCGATAAAAAAAAGCGTACAAAATGCTAATTAAATATTATGCGATATTAAATATTGCAATTGCATGAACAGGTTGAAACAAAGAATATATCTATGCGTTATCGCGAATACGTTATAATTACATCGCAAAGAAACCAGTTCTTACTCCGCCTTATCCGTTTTTCACTAGTCCGCAGATTAATCTCGAGATTTTAACGTTCATCGATCCACCCACCCATGCGAGCCTGCTCGCTTGCAACGTACATATTAAATCATACGTTTCCCCGATTTCCATCTAAGAGAAGTCTCATCCAATGCTGTTGTACCAGCAAAGTAAATAAATTCCCTGCAATGGTAACCATGGTTTCCTTCGCTCGGCAATGAGCTTGTATGAGTTGAAATATTCGCCGTATTACCACCATTTATCGTTTCAATCTACCGTTGAAAACCAACAATTTACCTGTTTCGCGTTTTGTGTTTTGTATCGCGGTAAGAATTTCTGTCCTGGCAAATCAACTTTTAAACTTCTTCTGACCATGCTCTGTTTATCGACCTCGTTATTCTATGAAGCAATAACATAGTATCATAATCTTCATTGTGTATATTACCAATCCATTAATCCTATAAACGTGTTCTTCTTTCTAGTCAGATCGTCGAACATTACACTAAAATCCGGAACACAATGGAACAACGATTCCAACGGAATAGACTATGCTAGATTATACGAGCATAACATGAGTCACCATGTACACCTAAACCCCATTCAACCTTCCAGCCCTGTAGATCTACACTTTATACACGCTCCTACGCATTCGATGCCAAGTAGTGATTTACTGATTCAGCACGAGCTTAGGCGAGAGCGGGACGACACCAGCACCGTTACCAGCAACGACCGATACATCGTACGGCGACGTTTTCCGTCGAAAACGAATCACGTTCTCATCGATCCACATATAACGAGTATACCACTGCGGGAAACGCGCCATTAAAGATTCCACGGGTAATTGCCTAACGACTCTGTCACGGCTGATTCTGTAGAATTTCCCGCTTCAAAACACTGAAACATAGTGCGTTTCGTGGTAGCACAGTGGTCGAAGAAAGTGAATTATTTGCATAAAGTTTGTGGTAAATTACTGTAATACGATAAGCGAAGTCAACATTATGTTACTTGGCTTTTTTACTTTTTCCTGTTTGAAATTTATTAAGGGATTTCAATAATATATACATGACGATAGTATCTGCGATAGTATCTATTATACGTAAATTTACGAAATTTGTTAACCATAGGAAAACAGAATTGAATTGAAAATGACTTAAAGAACGTAATCTGAAGTTAATTTCTATTATACTTTACAAATTTAAATTATAGTCTCAATTTTTAGCAGACATGAAGTCACATTTTCAGAAATTTTGTTCTATATTTTTGACTTATCCATTTCATGAAACATTGTTCCCTTTCTATCCTATCTCGTGTAAATAAAACATTGTTAAGTTAGGGGATCTTTTTATTCGTCATAGTATGAAGATCTGTTCATTCAACGACCGCTGAATGAAGCTTTGAACCAGTACTCGTGATCGTCTTGCGTAAATCGAGCAACTTTTAAAGGTCGCTATTACGCTCGTCTAAGCTACTACACTTCTCTTTAGTCAGAGTACTGGGTACAGAGAATTCATCTTTTTCCCCCGGTTACTTTGCGAAACACGTTAATCAACATTGATTTGGCGAATAAAGTATCGAAGGATTATGTTTCTAAATGATTTAAGAGGACGAGAATATCGAAAATTTTCCATCAAGTTGCATAGTCACACTTTTACGTTTGCATCATTGTGTACGCAACTTATCTCTGACATTAACAGTCATGATAAGTACAGACCTCTTCAATCTGGAAATAAATTCCAAACTTATCGCTGATTTTGTCTTTATAATCTTTAGTATACGAATAATATCATTAAATCGATCGGTTCTGTTCGTAGAATTAATATTACGAAAAATGATTGCACGTGGTCTATTCGAAAAGTTAATGAGATTACTTGCTTTATCGTATTAGATACACGAATAAAACTTAAAATACACACGATGCTACTTTACATTCTAAAAATACCATGCGTAAATAGTATTGCGACGTAAAGCCAACTCGTACAGCAGGGTAACATTTCACAGAACGTCGAACGAGCAACATCCCATTAACCCGTCAACATCGACGAGGCAACCGCAAGCAATAACTGCGAACTTCATTCTAATTTACTTAACGCGCATTAGCAAGTGGTGACGACTCGTTCGTCGAATAATCGCGTCCACGCTTGGTCCGATCCATTCTGGCTCGCACGTGTGTTCATACGAAAAGCAAACCTGCACATGCTGTCCATATGCTTGAACAGACACGCGTGCAAAAGAGTACATACGTATTGTAAATGCGCTCGTTTTCGACACAACGGCGATGTAATGCTCTTGCGAGCGCACTCTCGCTTCTGCAGTTCGCATTCGTCTATGCACATTGTACATCCGCTCATATCGATCGGCAATGGATTTACCGTCCTGGATATACCGTTACGATTATTGACGATCAGTATGGGTGTGTACTTGAACAGTGTCTGATACACTAGGTATTCATGATGAGTCGATAAATATTGTTATCTAAAATAATTCACCTTCCCTGTTGACTGTAGCAAAGAATATTTTAGATCAAATATCATATTATTTAATGTATCTTATCTTCCCGCTAATTCCAAACTTCAAAAAAGCAACGAATTATACATATACACAAACCAACTCGTATTTCCCCGATATCTCAACCTTCTTCTCATTTACGAAATTCGCGAAGCTAGTCCACATATCGAACATATCAAACATATCGAGAAAGCAAAATTTCATAGTGAAGATAAGTAACGGGGCGACGTATTGGGACGCCTCGAATCCGTTTGTGAGAGGGTTTCACAAGGTGTTTGCTCGCTCGGCGACGGTTGGGTATACGACAAATAGCAGCGCGACTCAATTATTCGAGGAAGAAGGTGACACGACAGAAGCTTGAGGAATGCCAGTCGAAGCGGGGAAGCGAGGAACTTCAAACGTGTGTGCGCATATGCACCAACGATATCCTCGTGAATTCGATTCGAGGCACGCGTGTTGGCTGACTGATATTGCAAAATCGCTGCACGTTACTTATTAGCATAAACTCTTTGTTGCCTATGACGCCGATTTACCGGACGCATCTTCTCGTCCCTCGTTACGCATCGATTACATTATGTTATCGTTCGATTTCCCAGGAAGATTTAACGACTATTCGTGCTCGATTATTCGATGTAACAGTACACTAAAAATTTCAATTCATGATCAGAAACATTCGAAGACAATGGGATTAACTAGCGGAACATTGCATCCTGGAGAGTAGCAATGGTCAAGTAGTTCGTTCGCAAGTTGATGCAGTTGTACGACCTAAATTTCCCGTTCGTTAAATATTTCACGTTGCAGTGGTGACCGTGTATATACGAAAGGCGATAGTGGACGAAAAGCAGATCCGCTTTTCTTGGCGTTAACGTGCCGACGATCCACCTTGTTTGTCGATAGTGTTGCTCTACCGTGATCAGGGTAAGATAACACATTTCTGACGTTTACAGAAGTCCCTCGGCGCGTGACTACTATCTACTAACATTTCGTCAGACACATTTACGAGCTGTATACCGTACTAGTGACTTCAGAAATTATATACCTTTTCGTGATAATATCTGAAATATTTCATTCCTTGAAACGAAATAACTAAAATAATTCTGCAACAAGCAACTTGATGTTGATCTTCTAAACAGATTTACGCTTAAAAAGAATACGTTTATAGACAATGTGTTTCTCATTTGCTTGATATTTTTATTAATGTTTGAATAAATTCGTGAAGTAATTTCATGTAGTGCGTTCTATATTTCATTTGTTTTCCTCTTTTTTCTACTTTTCCTGTATTACAGTGGTCCCAGTCGATATCTGTACGATGCTTCGAACAATATTACAAGCAGTGACCTTTTCGCAAGATGTAAGAAGTGTGAAAAAAGCTTTATTATGACGTGCGCCAGGCCTGTTCCCAATTCCTAGCACTGACAGCTCTACGTGCTGATGCTATTTGCGCTTGTTCGAAATAATGTTCTCCGGTGGTAACTGGTCACGCGACCAGGCAACGAAAGGTTTCTTCTTACCATGGAAGACATGGATCTGCAGAATATTAATAGGTGCTGTTTACAATACTTCGTAATGCAAAATATATTGTAAATTATATGAAAAAAAACTACCTATTATTAAGAACTGAAATTATTTTATATTTGTATACTAACGATAACGAGTAAATAATGACTACGTTCTTAAGAAAGAAAGCTATTTGCTTTTCTTCGAGCATGAAAACTACAATAATTGAAAAGATCCGTAATGCCAACTATACACGAACCAATTTCAAAATTCTATTCATCAATAGCATCCAAGAAATGTTATATAAGGGAAAGTAGGTTACACCAAATTATCCAGTAAAGTAATCCACCTTGATCAAAACTGCCGCACTGTATATATATTGTACGCTTGCTATGTTTAATTGCAAAATAGGAATTAAACAGAATCGTATCGTTAAATTTATTAAGTTTATGATCTAATAAATGTACTAACGATGAATAATCACATATTTAAGAATACTTATGTTTAAAACTTGTGAACAAGGTATTTGTCCACTTTACATAAAAATAAATTTTATGCAACGAAAGAAAATCTATCCAATAAAAAGCAACCATTCCCATGTTATATAGAAATATAGTATAGATAATATTAGCGCCATCGTATTATTATTGTGCATGTCGATGAACTACATGAAGGTAGTTTCTCGTTATATTCGGGTCACCAATAAAGGAAGGATATGAGTCGTTGAGGTTACCAACGACAGGTTGAATAAATTATACTGATCATTATGCGTCAGAAGAGCGACGTGCAGATCGTTCAATGAAGTATTCACACATTGCACTTGTATGTATATTCCCGCGAAGATGAAAGGATCGTCAAAACTTCCTGTTTCTTCTTATAATATAAAGCAAGACTTACTTTTTAATCATTCGTAACAAAATTTTTATTTTCCTGTAAAAACTGAAACTACAATTTATCGCAATTTTTCCTTCTTCGAAAATAAAGATGAAAAGAGAAATGCAACGGTATTTAGTTATAGTTCATTTCTATTATAATTTATCTTTGGTTTTTATATTTTCTGAATCAACTTTTCCCTTCTCTACCTACTTAAATGTTTTCTGTTGCCAGAAAACATTTTTTAGCAGCAAATAATTTCGAAGGGAGAGCTATTTATTGCACAGATCTTGAACTGAAAGTCAAATATTTGAATTTTGAAAAACTATGAGGACCACGCTAACAAACAATTCCGTTATACCGATGATCTTTCACTCTTCACGTTGCAAGTTCATTATCTTGGACTCCTATGCTTACGCTAAGTGAAAGTCACCTCGCAGAAACATCTGTACTCGGGTTAGTGCACCAAGAAGATGTTTGAAGTGCATGGCTGCCCTTGAGAACAGCAGGTTCTCATTAGCGGTATTTACTCCATTACCAAACGAAAACTTAATTGAATTGAACGCTCAAGCAGTACGTGACTTCTCGACGAACACGAAATTACATTTACTTTTTTAAAATTCCTTCTTTTTAATTTAATTAATAAGTACGTGAAACAGATGTTTGTATCTTACTAAACGTAAGTTGCTTATATAGTTCCTCTGTAAGGAAAAACGAGCTCCAATATATTTAAAAATAGGATAATTCAATGATAAGTAAATAAAATAAAATTAAAAAGAGTAAAGACACATGGATACCTGACTCCCATGGCACATGGTGTTATATAGGATAACGTCACACTAATGTCAGGTGAACTTTGCTGCTACTAAATATTCGTTCCTAAGCATTAATTACTGTATACATGAGTATAGGTCACTCGTTGAAATTTTTTCCTGCTGCAACAGCTCTTTAATTATAATCCGCCGTGAAATGACCTTTTAAGAATGTCGTACGTATACCATTGATGTTTAATTACTTTCGTGTGGAGTTTGAATGCTGTTCAAAATAAGCAGCTAATAAATTAGAGTTTATGAACTAAAAGATAGGAGAGTTTCTTAATAAAAAATTTATTACTAGATAGTTTTTGAAAAACTGCAAAAATTGAAGAGTCGCTGTTATACGCGATCAATTACATAAAACGTGTATAAACAAGAGAATGAACCAATTTTGTTACAAAATATTATCCTAATAAAAGAAATTCAATTTTAATAGCACACTTCTTTATTCATAGTTTTAAAGCTAACATCAACTACAACCATTTCACCGATAATTCAAGAACGATACAATTTTTCAGTCGATTAATGTCCAGCTTTCACGGGCAGGAAATAGGACTAAAGATATTTTCGTCCACCCTCGGCATACGTTAAATTGGTAGAAACGGGTATTGGGGTGTAATGCGTTCGTTCTCTCGATAACGGGACTAGCTACCCCTCTTGCAATAAAAGGGGAGCGAATGACGTCATACGCGCATTCAGGGCTCCCACTAGGGCTAGTAATTGTTCGTCTGTGTTTGCTGTACTTGCTCACGCCCACAATGGACATACACAGAAATCATTCGATTATGTTACACGTGCGTTTATGCCTCCGTTTTATAAATAGCAACATATACAGAGGAACGGTATGACGAGTCGAATAAGAAACTCGAGTAACGCAGAAATAAAAGAACATAATGTTCCTGCAGCACTCTTCGTTGTTCATGTAGAAACACCACTTTTCCAATTCGTGAAAATTTCGAATGGCTTACAAAATATCTCACGCAAGCTAATTTTTATGTATTGGTTAACGTTATGTGCTATTCAAATAATCGAAGTTTCTTTAAATGGTGTTCCTTTAAACCTCCCGTAGACTTCAAAACACGTATAAAAAAGACATCACGACCATAGAGTATCGAAGGAGGCAAGTGTTTCTTTACCGTTTGAGGTGTGCCGTTTGTCAGCTACAATATTGGTAAAACTGGTTGGTAAATTGGATCGAGAACCGGGTGGTCGAATAAGCGTGAAACGGTTTCCCGTCTGATCGTGAGTCACTGTATGTGCCAACCCAAACCGTGCTTTACTGCTCGACAGAATCGAGTCAGCCTATTTCGTGTGCCTTACATTTCGCCTACTCTGCTAACACCCTTATCGATCGAATCTACAGTCAACGAAAACAAGTTTTTCTTGTACGCTCATATTTCAATTTTCATAAAGCCTGCTTCTTGATTGTTACAAAGGAGTGACTAATGACTATCGATAAATTGACTTCAGTTCTTGTTTTCCCTGAAAGCTGCTGTGTGTACTTTTCATTTAAACACTGAAAAATCCCACATGATCACGAATGTATTGGAAGACACTCAATTTCTTCCGTAAATGTCACGCTACATCAAACTCTCAATCTATTCTATGGAGTCTAATTCATTATTTGGGTTAACATACATTTTACGCATTAAGAAATAATGAATTTCTATAACTTTTACAAAAACATTATCAAAACGTTGAACTCCGCCCTTATAATGATTCGTATCCAAAAAATTAACCATAGGCAAGATAGGCATTCGAGTGCTCGAAGCCCCAACATGACCCTGCGATTGTACTTCGTCTACCTTCACTAATCCCTTGGTTAAGCGAGCCTGACTCGTGCGTGAACGTTTCCGGTTTGCCTCGGATAACGTATACCAAACGTGCACGCAAAACCCACGTTTCTAGAAAATCCAATGCGGAGGTGGTTACCTGTATCCTATCCAAATCGACGCGGTTAATCGAGAAGATCAAATGTCACCAACCGGTTATCGTTTGGTTAACCTTGCTATCACCTCGGTACACACGGAAAAACGTATCTATCTCGTTCACCGAGCTGATGTGGTTTTGGATCTCTACAGTTGGTCGTTATGTGCTCCGAGTAACGTTATACGGAAAAATAAATCACGTTTTCTTTTTTTTCCTTGTCAATGGTCTTTAACGCGTACTCGATGGTTTTGAGTGATGGGATAGTTTTCTATTGGAAGCGTACAAGTGCCGTGGAAATGAAATATTTAAGGTTTCTAAAATATCCGTGGAATCATAATATTTTAAGTAACTAAAATATCACATAAAAAGTGATTATAATTTGCGGTAATACATCGTATTGCGGTATAGCACACTTCCGTTGTTCCGTCCTATATATCTGTATATGATAGGAGTCTAACTATTCGTAGTTTAATTTTTATCAAAATTTTTTACTTAAACGAGATACAAGAGTCAAACTAAACTCATACGTTTCCTTCTTTTACAAAATATTTTGAATTGAATTTACTTTCAGACTGGTAGCAATATCTAAATTTATCGTACGTTAAATTCATTTAATAAATGCCGCATATAGGTCATGGTATGTTATAATACACGATATTTCTAAAAGGACTTGAATAAGGCCTATGTATAAACATACATGCCTACATGTTTTGACGTCAGATAATCAATACAATAACGATCGCATAAAAGCACTCACTCATATTGGTATTGACATAATATCGCGGGCAAAGCAATATACCGATAGAAAACTCTCACTACAGCGTAACAGGTACAGATAGTTGTTTCCGCTTTCGGTATTTTAATAACAGAAAATTTGCTTTAGCCTCGAGAAGCGATAACATAAAATTCACTGATCTAATCCTGCTCGAGCAAAGCGTAATTTTTTATCGTTGAAAGATTTTTCAAATTTAGCAAAAACATGGAGGAGTAAACGTTAATACGTAGGTATCGTTTTCGTTTATTGAAACGAAAATTAAATTATTGAAAAACTGAAATAAGAATTGGAAGACGGTAGTAGAATTAGAAATAACCACTAATATTCAAATATCTTTTACCGTAATAAAACAAAAATGATAGCGTTAACGTTATTGTCAACGGAGGTTTTAATGCAAAATTCAATTCGGTTCAAATAAGCAGAGCTAATAAACAGTTATTCGTATACGTACGACCTGCTTTCTTACAAAATAACGCAAAAGTGCAAACGACCTATGAGTATATTTAACTTTGTTGAGTAAATACTCTGTCCCCTTTTCAGTGTTGTCAGGTAAGCCGTGGTCATCAACGTATTACGGGCATGCTGTCCAGACAGAACACCAGCTCTATTAAAAAGGATTGATAAATGTCTTCGTAAGTATTGTACTACGATATCGTTAAACAGTAGGGCATTGGCAACTTTTTCATCAATACATGTGTATTACTGATTTCTGTTTCTTAACGTTGTAGTCACAGAAATTCCATATTTTTTTCATCGCTATTTCTTTTATATACAATAGATTTTATGGTTTTGTAAAATTCAAAGAAATTAAGGCATCTGTAATATCGTTGTAAACCATTGCTTGGTCTTTAGTAGATTAAGCACCTAATGATGCCTAACTTTTCGCAAGTGTGCATGGCCTCTCGACCGATCCTACCCAACCCTTGTCCGATATTTATAAAACCAAAACTGCACTCAACCATCGACCCAACCGCTCATTCTTTTCCAGTGAACCGTGAACAGAATCACTTACAGGAGAGGCAAAGAAGCCAAAAGCGAAACGGTGGACGAAAAAGTGCGAGCGCCGGGAAAGGAAAAGCGAGCATACGTGCGGAGTAACGTCAAAGGCGTGAGAAGGGGAGTGACGAGTGGCGAGCAGCATGATGGGATGAAAAAGCCGAAAGGCAGGAACGAAACGGGGAAGGATCCCGGCGGACAGTGGTGCGAGCTATCGGGTAACATTCGTCATGGTGAGTGCGGAGACGTCGACCTCGCAGATACGCCGATCAGACTAGTCCGCAGTCCTTCTCTCGTATAACGACAGAAACCAGCAACCAGCAACCGTCAACCGTCAACCGTCAACCGTCAACCGTCAACTAACCAGCAACGCGTCAACACACTGGAACATGTAAGTGCACGACAAATTTAATCTTCTCGCGAGCCGATCCCCGCTCGGTTCCGCG